AGAGAGAGAGAGAGAGAGAGAGAGAGAGAGAGAGAGAGAGAGAGAGAGAGAGAGAAACTGCATAGCCATAAATAATTAGGGGCCAGTTAGTGGCTCAAGCCCAGGGGCCCACATCCCCCTAAATCCGTCCCTGTTCATATGTCTGCAAAATGATGGAAAATCTGTGTAAATTACGGACAATCAGTACAATTTGACATGTATGCTCTGTTTCTCTCTACCCCACCCCCATTACCCACCCCACCTTGATTTTTGTTCTGTGCAGGGTTGTTTTATGTCCCTCAATTTGTGTCCTGAGTGGACATAGCATGATGTTCTCTTTTTTATCCTCACTTATCCTCATGTTGGTATTTCTTTGTTCTTGCATAGCGCCTCTTATGGCTGCTGGACCCGGGGCACCTGTTGTCCAAGTCTGTTGTGTTTTTGTCTTTATCTCTTGAATTGGTTGTTCCGACCTGTAATTTCTCTTCGTGGGATCAATAAACTGTCATTCATTCATTCATTCATTCATTCATTCATTCATTCATTCATTCATTCATTCATTCATTCATTCACTATCATATTAAATTCCATTAGTTTAATTATATTTATGATGGATGATTTGTAGTAATAAAATGACCAATTATATGATAGTTTTGCCATTTCCATGCACCAAAAAACTTCCACATACAGTATAATCAGAAAGGCTGCAGCCTCTGATGTCGTGTTGTATGATTTGTCTGGTTGCAGCTGTTGGTTCAGAGCCATGCAGCTCTGTGGCTCAGTACGTGGTCTACTGCAGTGTTTGTGAAACAGAACATTCCTCAGGTTCAGACGTGAMTGGTGCAGTCGGTCCTGACAGCTCCCGGGGTTCCTGCACAGAATATGCCAGCTGGGGCCCGACAGAGGTCTGCAAAAACAGCAGCTAAAGTTCTGAGCCATATCAGATATTTTCAAACTAGAATGAAACGAGGAGAGTGTTTGGGAGTTTTTCACCTTTTCCTAGTGTGCTCCATCACTGGGTTGTTGATGGATCAGCACAGAGATGCAGAGAGAGACCAAGAGCTGAACAAAGCCATTCTGGAAATGTTACACATCAAGAAAGTGTCAGCTAGTCATCAGACCAGACCACACCCGTACATGAGGAGGATCTACCTGCAGCTGGCCTCGCTGGACTCTCCAGACTTCACAGGATCAGACGGAATCCTGGTGCAGAGCTTTAAAAGTGTTGACGGTAAGAACTTAGGGAAAATAAAGAAATGCAAATCACCTGCCACATAGGGTTTTAAACTTCTTAAAGGGAAACAATCTAATGTTGAAAAGAACTTAAACTGTAGTTGGTCAAAGTTTATAAATAACTCCTGCACAATGTGTGTGTTAAAATCAACTCTTAGCTGCCACCACACCAAATGGTAGCTCAATATCTGCAAACCTGACTGTTGCTATTGCTGTTTTCTAAGGTCAGTTGACAGCCATCTGGAATTAAATTGACTCAGAATGTTAATCAGTTGTAGATGTAGTGGAGATATTTTGCTAATAGACAATGTTGACTGAACTAATGGCAACATTTCAACCAAAGGTTGTGCTCTGTTTGTTAGAGCTCAGAATGTCTGTTGGGGATCAGTCTCAGCTTCTACCACACCAAATATTACTCAGTATGAATGATACTTTATTGATCCCATGAAGGGAAATTACAAATCTATAAATTGTTTAAATTCCCGCCTTTCTTTATCAAGCTGTTGCAGCCATTTTGAATTGGGCTGACCACGGGTTCTAGATGTACTGCAGGCCTACATACAGTACTAGATAGTTTCAGTTACATCTGTTCAGTGATTCACAAGATGTTTTGCTAACAGACACAGACACAAAGAGAACTATTATTGAAACTATTATTGGCCACATTCTCCTTTCTAATCTTCATGAGCACATCTCCATCTTCGGCCGTATATCCGTGGTTGGGTCATGGAGGCAACTGGAGAAATCGAGACTTCCCTCTCCCCAGCGATAATTTCCAGCTTGTCCTGGGGGACCCCAGGGTGTTCCCAGACCATAAATGATATATAATCCCTTAAGTGAGTCCTGGGTCTCTTACTAGTGGGATGCGCATTGAACATCTCTAAAGGGAGGCATCCAGGAGACATCCTGATCAAATGAAACACCTCAAATTAAGCTCCTCCCCTTATATCCAAGACTGAGCCCGGCCACCCTATGAAGGAAGCTCATTTCAGCCATTTTTTAAAAATCCAGGATCTTGTTCTTTCTGTCATGATCCAAGCCTCATGACCACAGGTGAGGGTTGGAATGTAGACAGACCAGTAAATACAGAGCTTTGCCTTTCAACCCAGTTCTTTTTTCACTATGACTGACCTAAGCAACGCCCTCATTACTGAGGACAAAGCCCCAATTCATCGATCCATCTTCCCGCTCCATCACTTTTAAATAAGACAACCAGATACTTAAACTCCTCCACTTGAGACAGAGACTCTCCCCCCGACCCAGAGGGGATATTCAACCCTTTTTCAGTCAAGAACCATGGCCTCAGACTCAGAGGAACTGACTCTCATCCCAGCTGCTTCACACTCGATTGTGAACCTTCCCAGTGCACACTGAAAGTCTTGGCCTGAAGACATCAACAGAACCACATCATCTGCATAAACCAGAGACGAGACCCTGTAGTTCCCAAACTAGACACCCTCCTCTCCATGACTGTGCCTTGAGATTCTGTCCATAAACACTACAAACAGGACTGGAGACAAGGGACAGCCCTGGTGGAGTCCAAGCTGCACTAAGAATGAACTTGACTTTGTGCCGATTATAAAAACGTTTGTCAACATCTGGCCAAAGGTGTCCTGGTACCAACTACACTTATGGACCACCACCCTATGCTCAAACAATGTGTTTGTTATTGTTATGGCAATATTTATTTAACAAAGACAGAAATACGTGGTCCAAGAATGAAGGTACTCCATCGATCATCTTGAACACAAACAGGATTGTCTGTTTTGTTATATGGAAGGGTCAGAGGTGGTGGGGCTCTGCGACTTTTTGTAGATCTTGGTTTAGTTCCTGGGGCTGGAAGATGAGAGTTAGCTGGATTTGGGTGTGGTGTTTGTTTGATATTAATCACGCCAGGTTATTCCATRTTGTTAGTAAAATCCAGGAGGGGCATTCCACTTGCTGTCCTGTTGGGGTCTCAGAGTCCAAGAGATCTTCTGTTTGTGAKGCTGGTTCTGCAGGTTGAAGTAACTCCTCTCTCTCTGGTTCTGATTCTGCAGCAGTCTCCTTATCAGTAACTGGCACACTGTGTTCCACTGATATCTCAGTTTTCTCCAGCTGTCCTTCAGACGTCAGCTGTTGTGGTTTTTCCTGTTGTTTGTTTCCAGCCGGAACTTGGTTCAGGAACTACTTCATGTTTGAAGCCAGAAGCTGTGCTCCAGTTTGATTCAGAGTTATTCTATCAGACCTGAAGAGATGTTTTCTTTCCCAGAAGAGATCAAAGTTATCCACAAAACTCACAGAGTGGTCAACACAGAGCTTTTCCAAAAAGCCATTAAGAGCCAACAGTCTGCTGAACCTCTCAGCTTCTCCTCCTGCTGTGGGAATGGGCCCACTGATGAACACATCCATGTTGAGATTTTTAACTGCATTCAGCAACTGAATAAAATCCTTCTTCAGGATTTCTGACTGTCGATTCATAAATTCATCACTTCCTGTATGAATGATGAGCGTCTTCAGAGGATACTCAGCTGTGATTTCCAGAATCTTCTCTGCGAGGTCAAACACTTTATCAGCAAAACTCAGAACTTTGACTTTCTTCTTGTTCCAGACGCCTCTGATCTCATTCACCATTTTATCTGTGATGATCAGCATTTCTTGATTCTTGAAAGTCTCTCTTTGGACTTGATTTGGCTTTGAGTTGGATCTGGATCTGGATCTGGA